GTATTCAAGTTTTTCTTCATTACCCATTCAAGCCGTCTCCAGCCATTATTAGTCTCAAAGTGGGTTCCTCGTCATCGAATTTGATCATTAACTAATTATTACACACAAAAAAATATACATATAGTATATAAATGGTTATATTTTGTTCCTACTCTTAAACCACTGGTTTTGGATTAGCTTTAAAACTATTTCAGTGTATCTTTTTCAGAAAAAAAAATTAGATCTTCTTAAGTCAAATTCTTTTAACCAAGTCTGATTTACCAACCTATCCAACAATGTAGTAATTTTTTTTGTACAAGTAATATACCTGGTTTTAAAAGTGGAGGAACTATAGCTTGATATTGGCACCCTACATGGATTCTATTTCTGTTTTTGCTTTTTGATTCATCTTCCCAGTAAGAATCAAAATCAGCATCTGTAAAACAAGACACAGTAGCCAGGTGTACGTGTGTTTTCTCAAGAATATTAAGAAATCTGTGTAAAGAAAGAGGACATTAAGAATTATTTGTTTTTATTTATTTCAAGTAATTTAACTTTGAACCCTATGTTCACTATTATAACTAAATTATACTGAATATTTTCTTGAAATTTAAAGTTAAAAATCCTTTAAAAATGCAAAGCAATTATTTTACATTTTTTGTAAAAAGTTGTATAATGTCACACAAGCATCAAAAGAATATGCAAAGAAAATGTTAATAACAGGTTTATAAACTTAGTTTAAGATTTTGGATACAATTATTTATCATTTTAAACAAACAACTAGTACTTTTTTCATAAACACTATAATCCAACTATTTGAGTCAGTAATTTGGTAATTTCTCTGAGGCTGGAGAGCTTCATAAAAGAATATATGAAGAAGCAAGGTTACAGAAGGCCATTTACTTTTAAGCCAAAAATTCCTTTGTCTCTTACATGTAGCTTTTTACATTCATATACGGTGAACCTAATCAACAAAGTGCTACCAAAACTAAAGTTATCAGAACAAACCAAATCATCAGGTAAATAAACAATTCCAGAAGTATATGAATGGAAAAAAACATGTATCTGAGCTTCCAAATTTTAAACTTATTATCCTTAATACTGAAATTTAAATATGCACTACTTTTTTCATTCCATCACTCACACAGACAATTCACAGATAAATTATCCAAATCCTAATAATGTAAACATTGAATCAAGTTCCTCTTAACTTATACTTCTTTATATTAAAACTTGTTTAACTCAGTCAGCAAGACTTTCAAGGTACAAGAAAAGCATTCTTAGCATAATGTTCTTCCCAGCATTGTAGTACTATCAATAAATTTAGAAATACCCATATTAATAAAAATATTAATATAAATAATAAACAAAAAAGGTCCCAAAATGAATCATCACATATTCCCTACCACTAAAACAATTTTCTTAACTTTACCACTAATCAATCCTATATGTTTTCAACATTTGAGACTGGGAAGGGGGGAGATTGTTTTCTAACTATTAAGGATTCTACTCAGGATCTTAGTACCGAAAAGGATAAAATCTATGTTGTGAAAGTATACTTGAGTGCTACTACTACTAAACATATCTTTGAGGCTTCTTTTGAAACCAATTGTCAAATTAAAGAAAGTTGTGTCCCTGGCTGTAAGAAAGCTAATTTAAAACAAAAACAAAATATTAGAAAAGAAATTGGAAGGTTAATGTAATGTACACTTTCATTATTGCATACTAGCCATATGACCATAACTGAGTGAAGAGATGAATTAAGTTTAATATACATAAATTAAAAGTGTTGATGTACAAGAATATGAAACCTACTGACACAACAAATGATGCTGAGATTTATTAAAAGAAATTAAAGGCATCACAAAAGCTTAAAACCAAGAGAGGGTATGAAAGTCTCTTAGTTAAAGCAACAAATTTTGACTTGTATCTCTGAATTAATAGAAAAAGTTTCAATAATAATATATGTGACTTGCATTATTCTAATAACAACCCTATTAATACAAAAACAATTAGAGATGAAGAGTCCTACAACATTTGTCTTTTATTCATCAGGGAGAAGAAGAGATTCCTAATCTGATGAAGAACTTTGAAGATAAAGTAATAGTTTTAATTTTTTTTTTTATTGAAGAAAATAAATGTTTTGTAAAAACTTCAGAAGTTTCTTGAGAGTACAGCTCTTACCATAATGAAATTCAATTCCAAAGCCTCAATGTGCTTAGCAAGGATTTGATGAAGATTTTAACTGTTATATTTCAAAAGGCCCTTAACACTAAAGAAGAGGTTCATGAAAGATGGGAAAACTCCAGGCTTCTCACTAACATCTACTGGTAGTGCTAGAAAGATAATGCAATATATTCTCAGAAATAGCTTAAATATAACTAGCATTTGGAAAAAAGAAAGGAATTTAATCAACAATATAGTCAGCAAGTTTTGAAAAACAAGGTAACTTACTTTACCAACTGAGGCTTTAGCTAACTAATACATGCCAGCAGACAAACTGGCTTCTGACTCTGAAATTTGAGTACCCAAAATGCAAAAGAAAAAGCCAGTGCTGGATGATCTTCATGCAGCACTGGTATCTTTTCCTGTGGTAAAAATATTACAGTTCTTAGCTTTCATACTGACTTTATATAAAAATGTTTTTTTCCTGCATTATATTTTCTAACAATAAATACAAGTAGAACAATCCATCTTGAATGAGAGTTTTCTTTATATGGACTTTAATAAGTAACAACATATGTATGTGTAAAATCAAGGTTTAAGATAAGAAATTACAACTCACTGGACAATACTGAAGTTTTATTGAATGCAAGTTCATTGCCATTGCAAAATTAAAGTTAAACTATTATTTTATGATGTCAGCAAATTCAGCAGTATGTTCGTTTTTATTCTCTTTAGTACAATTAATAAGGTAAGCATGAGCATACAGTGTAGAATTTATAAATAGATTTGTCATATCATTAACTTTTATCACAAAAACAAATTGAATTTCACAGCCAGCAACACTCAACACTTTAATATCACCAGCAGGTTTAAATAATGTCAACTATTCTTTCATCTTTATCATTGGTGTAAATCAAAAAGAGCAAAGGTCCTAACACTGAGTCTTGAAGTATTCCACTCATTAAATTAATCCAGTTTTACTGAATTCCATTTATAATGACTCTCTACTTTCTTACATCTAGAAAGTTTTCTCTCAAACAAGCCAACTTATCTCCCACATATCATACTTTTAAAAAGCCTTTTACACGGAACCTTGTCTAATGGCATGCACATTTAAGATGGCTAGCAGTGAAGATGTACAATTTGTTGGTTGCAGGCTATTGTAAATATGGTAGGGGCAATGTATAAAAAGAAGGATAAACTGTGGAAAATGGCAACATTTTAAAAAGAAAGATTAACTTAAGCTTTTGCATGTAAAGGCTACAGTGACTAATAACAAATTTCATGAAGTTAGTAACAGTATTAATAGGGCTAGAAGTAGTAGATTTAATTATAATGAGTAACAGCTTTCAGCCTTTAGCTTATGCAGATTAAAAACTAGTGGAGGGAATGAAAAACAAAAAGAGGTTATTGTTATAAGTGATTCTTTAGTAAGCCACTTTACTAGGATAGTCTGTGGAGTAAATAGGGAGAAAATAATTAGATTATGCTATCCATGGACAATGGTGGAGGATACAACTGATGGAGCAAATGATATAGTAAAGGATGCTGGCAGTGATGTAGTACTTGTACACATAAGGGGCTAGTGATGTAGAGAATGGTAGGTCAAAAAAGCTAACTGATATGTACAAGGCACTGATAAAAGCATTCAAAGAAAAGGGCCATAATAACTTAATTCTGTCATGTATATTGTTAATATTTAATTGACGGGATGAAATTATAAGTAGTTCACTACAGCTGAATACTAGGCTTAGGTTAATATGTAAGGAGAGTAGGTTGGTTTGTTGGATCACTTTAATGAGAAAAGGAATGAATGGTTTACATTTAACTGGAGTATGGGTAAGCTTGTACATAAGGGCTAATAACTCAACTGTAAGGCAGCTTTTAAAGTAATACAAGACAGTGGTGAAGGCCAAAATAAAGAAGAAAAAATAAAATGTAGATAAAAGCATAGTGTAAGAACAAAGTACATAAGTAGTTTTAATGATAAGCTAAACTGTCATTGCAGTAATGCTAGCAATATAAGAAATAAAATGGATGACTTTAGAACACTGGTCAGAACAAAGGATTTTGATGTAATGAATAACTGAAATCTGGTTAAATGTTAGAGTCAAATCATGAAAAAGACAAGCTTTTAGAAATTATTCAGGATGGTGTTCTTCATCAACTGGTTAGGGGACCTACTAGGAAAAAATGATATTTTAGATTTATTATTAATAAAGCTAGGGTAGAGATAGGGGAACATCTGGGTGAAAATGATCATTGCTTAATTAGGTTTGATGGTTTTTGCTGCACACATGGGTGTCCACAAACATTTTTCCAGCAGAAACAAAGTCAAAATCAAGGGATGATGGACCTGCCTTCAAAGTTTTGCTATTTCAGTCAAAAGAATAGGCAAGCTCCCATAGTCAAATTTAATGGGTTTAATACTTGTAAGGTTAGTTTAAGCCATACTGCAGGCTTGCAGCTATATATATACTTGATAGTAGTAAATTTTGGTTAGCCCCAACCATCAATCTCTGCTGCTGGTATTAGCTACAGGGTAGATATCTAGAGATTTTAAGTAGAGCTGCTGACAAACTTGGTGACTTTTGATAGTCTCTCCAAAAACCACCAACATTATATTATGTATCCTCAAATTATACAGAATTTTGATAAAAAATAAATGTCTATGAACAAAGAACAATTTATGAAACAAAATCCTAAATTTTTTATATTAAAACTGAAATTGAAGAATGCCACTCACTACTAGTACAAGGTTAATAAATATTTATAATCCATAACACGCTTTGGTTAACCATTGATAATTGTAAAACTAAAAGTAAAAAGGATTTAGAAAAGTTTGTTCACGTCTTTCTTTTCGGTTTGAGTAATTCTTCTTACAAAGATTAATTTATCAATCTAACTTGTATAACTTATAACAGTAACACCTAAATTAAAGTAAGTTGTTATAGTTATACACTGTGGAGAAGACATTTACTGATTTAACTTTGAGCCTCTCTTCACAGCTTACGTATCTTAGGCCCTTGTAAGTTGGAGTATAGAGTTTTAGTTTCAAAGCTCTTGCAAATATATTTTTAGTTTTACTAGGACGATAAGCCTAGCTTACCAGTAACGTTAAATTCTTCCATCAAAACTTTGAAACTGGATCAGTGAATGTTATGTCGGAGGGAACCTCGTTTGTTGTAATTATCCACTTTGAAACAAGTCATCTAAACTTTCTATAAATTACACAATAATTCAATAAAAAATTAAAAGGTTTTATAAACGATTCTTTTACCTTTTCACAATCATAGCACAAATAAAACAATTAAATCGAACTTCATGACAACATACAGTCTCACGTAGACGGGGTGAGGCTTTAATGTTTCACATTTTACGTGCATGGTGGCGTCTTGTTCTGAGCCTGTTTCATTGACCTCGTGTCGTCAAAAGATGTAAATTACGCTAAATTTCAAATATTCCAACTGCTAATTTTGTTAGACTAAAATAGGTTAGCTAAAATAACTTTTCTCTATCTAATCTTATTTTATATATAAAAATATAACTTTCATAATATATTTGAAAACAACTATATATTGACATTTTTACAGAGAATCTAACAAAACAAGCAGTATAATTTTCATCTTCGTGTTTATATCCTTTATATTGTTGTAAGTAGGCCGATTTTAAATTTTTTAGTTTAGATGTTGGCTGGACAGAGTAAATTCAACTAAGATCTATATGGGTACAGAAGAGTAAGCGGGCAGTAAAAGTCAGAGTGTGTCAGTCAGTCTGTTTGTTTGTTGTTTTTTGAATTTCGCGCACAGCTACACGAGGGCTATCTGCGCTAGCCGTCCCTAATTTAGCAGTGTAATACTAGAGGGAAGGCAATTAGTCATCACCACCCACCGCCAACTCTTGGGCTACTCTTTTACCAACGAACACTGGGATTGACCGTCACATTATAACGCCCCCACGGCTCAAAGGGCGAGCATGTTTGGTGGGACGGGGATTCGAACCCGCGACCTACAGATTGCGAGTCGAGCACCCTAATCACCTGGCCATGCCGGGCCGTCACTCAGTCAGTTAGGTATTTATTGAGAAGTTTTGAGTAGTGACTTAGTATTCAGTGCGTGAAATTGAGTAGGTGTTGATCGAGAAAAGTTAGTCAAGTTTGTTATCAGTGAATAAATTTCTGTTGAAACTGGAAACGTTATTTGTGAACGTGGACTTACAACTGCGTACAAGTAATAGTAGCCTGCAGCAAACATTAAGGAAGAAATAATTTAATTCATTATCGTTACCTGAACTGAATTTCACAATTATTTTCACCAAATGACGTAAAAGAACCCGGCCAACGATGGAATATGTTTCGAAATAAATGCTAAAAACCGAGTTTCGATACCCGTGGTGGACACAGCACAGATGAATCATTGTGTATCTTTGCGCTTAACAACAAACGAACAAACAAATACAAAAAAAAAGACAAAAAAACACGCTTCTCTGTTAATGTCAGAGTTTATATGTTTTAAACGAAAAATATAATACAATATTTTAGCCGAAGAGTATTTGAACTTATTTAAACATTAAATAATATTAATTCTATCTATCGGAGTAGCCTAAATATACTTTTAAAATAGGACCCCATAAGAGATATTTTGGGTCCTAATATCCAATGAACAAAGTACTGAAAAAGGAAATATTAAGTGGTGCTTTGGGTAGTCACGGTATCGCCCTACCACCCAACAAGTCAATATGAAGATTTGTATGATGTGTTTGTCGATATAGGGTGCATATTATGAGTATTGTTTCGATTTCCGCTACAAATCAGTTATCTACATTCATATGGAGTCAACTTTAACATCGAATACATGCATGCCCCACCATAAAATTCACACAGTATATGCAATGGGCTAGGACAAAATACATCTCATATATATGAAAACGAATGAGGTACATACATGTGGTTATAGCACTGAATTGTTTTTTTTGTTGTTCAAGATAGTAGAAGATAGTATCTATTTTACCCAGGGGATATTACTGCGACTTAAAACATTGTGTAGGAAAGGTCACAAACAGCAATGTCCTTCACTGGCTAAGTAAATGATATTTAGAGGTTACAGCCTTTGTATCTTGTATGAGAATGATCAGATATGTAGTGATTTTTCTTGCTAATGCGTAAAACCAACGTTTCTTGTTTGGTACAGAGCATCGATTTTAGTCAGAATACAGGAGGTTCTATTTTGTTTTAGATGTGAGTCGATTGACAGAAAGAAATCTTGTGGGATTATAACTGTTGATTAATTCACTGATCCAGTAGAAAGGCGGCTGTGTAGTGTCTACGCGAGTATGCACACAGTTTTTTCTCAGCATATTGAATAAAGATTGTTATAAGTTTTACAATACATGTCCAATCTATTTATTTTCTTAGCTTAAACTCAGCCATAGTTAAATTCAGCTTACTTTGAGAATACCACAGAGTAGATGTGGGAAATTTTAGTGCTGTGACCACGGGATTTATTGTAGAGATTACTGACTTTCCTCAAGTGCATAATGACCCTTGTTTGAGCTTTTGTGTATTCACATTTATAGAAATGCTTTTACTTAAGAATGGCTAATTAAAAAATAGAAGTGCTCAAAACCAAGAGGAAGAGTTTGCTTCTAGAGAGAGAGATGGTTGTATGAGAGAGGTGTAAAATCAAGAAAAAGTTCTCTCCTGAACATAGGACTTTCATAGATGCTATGAGGGTTGCTGAAAATCATCATCCTTCAGCTATAGACTCAGGACACTCAAGCAATGTCTGGTGCACCGAGACTGGTAGGTTGAACTATGCCCTTGGGGATCAATCTTGGCACAAGGGAAGTGAGGACAACTGAGGAACTCTGAAGTGTAATGACACCTGGCCAGCCTGGGACCACTTGGGGAGGTCTCCCTAGGACTCCCAAGCTGCTGCCAGCCAGAGTACTGAAGTCCCAGTTTTGGTAAAGACCACCCACCAGCTGAGAAGAATTAGAAGTTTCATTGGCAGATGACCTCTGCCAGTTAGAGTTATTTCCCTGGAAAATAGTTAGTGGGTAATCACAGGTAAGGACTAAAAACTATGAGGTAGTGAACCTTGCTGAGATGGAAGGTATCCTACAATGATGACTATGGCTCATAATGATTTCTGTGGTCATGTAGAGCTGTATGAGGACCAATTATTTTTCCAAATATCACAGTCCCTGAGAATGTCTATCATCCTGCACTTGCAGCATCTCAGCCAGGCACTAGTTGATAACCTGCAAGAGAGTGGCTTTATTCTACACTACAGATGTCTGTGAATGAAGCAAAACAGATTTTGCCCCCAGTAAGTAAAGATGTGAAAAAAGAAAGCCTGATTCATTACTTGAAGTACTTCAAAAAGCTGCTTGAAATGGCTGGACTCAAGAGCAAACAGCCCATCGCCTGATTCTGAGTCTGGATGTCATTAAGCAAATGAAGGACTGAGATATTGTTCTATCTAAGTTACATTGCCGATTTGACCTTGTAAAAACTGGCTGATTCATTAGGCTGTGAGTTCAAAGCTTGGAAGAGGATTGCAATAGTGAGTCTGGCCACTTATGTGGATGAATTATCCTGATTGCATGGCAAGTCTTACCCTGCAATAGCAACACTAGATTAAGACGACATATTCATGAACAAATGTATTTAGGGACTTTTTGGTGAAGCCACGAAGCACTACCTAGATGTAAGGGATATATTCATCTTTAAAGAGGCAGATTATGTAGTGACTTGGTATGAAGTATTAACATTCAGATCATTCATTAGAAAAGAAAAATACCATAGTAACAACTGTAGTGGTTACACCTCAGACAGACTGATATACACAGGTATCTGCATTACTTTAAGTTAGAGGTATAGTGAAGGTTGGTCATCTACACACACATCCTGCCCCTGCAATGCAAACACACTGGTTTCCAATGAATAGGCAAGATTATCCAAATCTGCCCATGGAGTAAATGCCAAAGCCAATGCTGATGATTCCATTGTCCAGGATGGAAGGAAGCTTTTGGTTTAGCACTGTCAGATGAACTGTCCTTACTTTGCTAAGCTGCAAAGATTGTGGGGTTATTGGTTCTAGCCTATGGCATAACAGATGTTAGCTAACTAATAGCACACATAATTTGCAAGCAACAAAAATGGGAAGGTTATTGGTACCATCCAATGGATCAGCAGAACCAGGATAATCAACAGAAAGTGGTGGATGCTTGACAAGTCCTCCAGAAAACCCAAAAAGCCCAAGCTGGGTCTCATCACTGGCTTGGGGACTACTTAAACTGAATAGTAGAGCTTAGTACATACCTATGATGGTACAAGGGCAACGAGTTGAGTTCCTTGTTAACACAGGAGCAGTAAAAGCACTGGTGGACCTCACAATATATATCAAGCCTTTTAAGTGAGGCCACCATACTGGCCAGCGGAAAGTGGCTTCATTTTGGCAAGTGGATATAGACTATATGGTAAAGGACAAATAGATATACAGCTCTGTCTAGGAAATGCTGCTCATAGATTGAATGTAGTCATCTCTAACCTCAGACCTAGTATTGGCATTCTTGGGATGAAGGTGCTGCAGAAATTATATATATCACTTTTGCCTGCAAACTGAGCAGGCAGCATTAGCTTGGACAGTTAAATGTCAGAAGAGAGAAGAAGTCCTAATGTTTGTTTTGCAAGTATAGGTTATAGTTATCCTACTGTACACTGGAATGATTATAAATGCAGGAATAAAGTGTCTGAATGCAGGTATACAGCTGCTAAAACATCTGAAGTCGATGACTGAGGATTTGCAAACAATCTAGACCCAACACAACAGAAGCAACTCAGTGACTTGTTGGTTGGATATGCCGACGTATTTGTGGGACAATAATTTGGTAAAACAGTGGTGGCCCAGCACAACATAGATACAGATGGTGCACATAAAATAAAGCAAACACCACTCAGGTTTCCCTGAGCACTAAGAACGTTGCCAGCACTGAAATACAGCAAATGTTTGAGAACTGAATTATAAAACTTTTGGAGAGTGCTTAGTCGTTTCCAGTAGTCAAAACACTAAGATATCTTCATGGTTTAACTGAAAGTTCTTGATTCTATCTAGAAAGTCTAGAGAGTTTTTGAGAGAACAGGGTTAGTTTCAAGTAGAGGGTTTAATCTCTTGACTAAGAATTTAACAACATTTGGTACTGGTGAGCCTATTCTAAATACTATAGATATGAAAGGAATGTTATCTTTGTGAATTTTAGGAAGGGATTAAAAATTCGGGGATGATTGTGTGGGGGAATAAAAGACATTTTTACATTAGTAGGGAGAATAGGGCAACCTTTAACTAGTTTTTAATGT